TTGGTTTTGTCCCTTGTTGGCCGGCGTGTGGTGGGTGTTGGACGAGGAGTCCTTTTTCTGTTGCTTCTCCCCACCCTTCTTCTGGTTCAGGAGCTCGTCGGCGTCAGCGTGCCTGTCTCCGCGTCGGAGCGCCGCGAGGTATGACCGCGGGGGCTCCGTGAACAGACTCCGGGCGAAATGGCTCGACCGGAGTGCTCTGCGGAGGAAGGCCGGGAGGGTGCGTTCATCGGCTCCTTCGCATTCGTCCGCCTCCCTTGTCCAACGATCGAGGAAGGCTCGAAGCGTCTCCTCCGATTGTTGTTTGATGGTCAGGAGGTGCGCGAAATGTTTCTTCGCACGCTTCCTCCCGGCAAAGTGGGTGAGGAAGCGCTGAGCGAGGTCCTGCCATGAGTCGATGCTCCCCTCCGGGAGGTTGTTGAACCAATCGTACGCAGGTCCTTCCAAGGTGGAGAGGAACCAGCGGCACATGTATTCCTCTGAAGCGTTGGTCATCATCATATTGTTCTGATAGCGGGTGAAGTGCTCTTGAGGATCAGTGCGGCCGTCATACGGCTTGATCGGATTCCCCTTATACTTCTCTGGGATGGGGGCGGAGAGCACCCTGGCAGAGAAGGGGGTCCTGGTCCGTATCTGGATGACGGGCTCATCGCGTCGGTCGGCCAACTCCCTTTCTAGAGCACTGACTTTGTTCAGGAGCGCGTCGTAGTTGGGATGCTGGGATGTATGGGCCGCTGTGCGCCCTGCGGCCTCTCGGGCCTCCATGTCAGCGAGGCGCTTCTCCAGGCGGGCGATGATCTCATCCCTTGGGTCCGTGTTGGCCGCGGCGCCACCCAGAGGGGTCTGGATCCGGGATGCGTGGGCCAGGTTGATTTGGTGACGCGCATCGTCATCATTCAGCTTTCCTTTTCCTTTGTCTGGTCGGGGCCGATCCGTCGTCCAGGAAACGGACCCGAAGCTTTCCTTTGGTGATCCCGGCTCGCGACCACCCAACCGATCCGCAACCCTTCCCGTAGGTACCCGACGGCTCGCGATGTCACCCAGCCTGTTGAAGGCCGATATTTTACCACGAGGTTGGGCTGGTGTATCCCGGGTAGGCGAGGCAGTATGGGAATGGGTGTCCACGGCGAGGACGTCCTCGTTGTCGCCGAAGAAGGTGACGCCCTGTGGACGAGGTGGCGGTGGCGGCACCGTCGCGACCTCCCCAGTCACAGGAGTGTTGTTTTCCCCGGTCTTTGCGACAAGAGCGCTGACCACGTTGGGGTCCTGGAGGATGCTTGCAACGATGGCCGATAATGCGACCGGGTTGATCTGGGGAGCAGCAGGGTGAGAAGCCTGCTGCCCCGAAGTGCAATCAGCATTGCGTCTGTCTTCGAGTCCGATGCGAGCATCCGGAGCAGTCCTGTTGAGCTGGGTGCGAAGGTCAGCCGCTGCGTGCTCGACCTCCTGGGCATTCTCATCCTGGATGATGAGATCATTGGGGACGTTGTCAGCAACGTTTCCCTGCCCTTCCTGGTTCAGAGGGGCGTTCCTACCAGTGTTCTTTGACCTAGTTCTTGTCATTCTGTTGCGTCTAGTAGCGACGAGGGGTACTCACTTGATCTGTTCTAAGCTCTCAATGAAAGCACCAAATGATAGAGTATTAATTCTAGAGAGAAGTGAGAGCTAGAGAGAGAAAGTGAGTAATTATATTTCTCAACTTGGAACCCCCCATAATTAGCCCCTTGGGGTCTATTTATAGGAAAAAATGTGGATTTGGGCCCCTAGCTTTGGGCTTAGGAGGCCCATTACAATAATCATGCCTTCTTTGGGCGAAATAAGACCACTAATGGGCTGTGTACAATACTTAGTAAATATAGTGAAAAATACATTCTGCCTGGACGAAGTCCGGACGATGCGGTCCATGGACGATGCGGTCCATGGACGATGCGGTCTATGGACGATGCGGTCCCGGACGATGCGGATTCTGGGCTTCGCCCAAAGAATCCAGGCGATATCTTCTTTTTTGGACATCGCGTGCCTTTGGCCGATGCGGGTGTCCTGCTGGTGTCTTTTGGGCCGTTGAGTATGTGGGCCATGGGGTCCAGGCCCATATACTCTATCACTTCCTTTAAGGTGAGTGAGACTTTTTACATTCAGTTCATCGATTCTCTTGATCTTCTCAGGTCTTCTCCAGATGTGCTTTCTGATTTCCTCTTGGAAGGGCGGTGATAGCGATGTTCTCCCAAGTTTTCTCATTTGTGGGCGGAAGAGTTCATGTTCTTCTGATCACCTTGGGTAGCTCTGCTGGAACTTGATTATAATTCTCCCTTTTCTTGAGTTCTTCATTGTTGAGTCTGATCAAGTCAGCATCACATTTATTCAACAACTCTCTGAAAAGGAATAGTCTTGAGCTATCAGTCTGTTCAGCTTCTTGTCTGATCTCGTCCCACTCATTCCACTTGGGATCTAGCACATAAGCTTCGAGTTGATCGTGAACAAACAAAGATGGAGTATGTGAGATGAGCAACTGTTTTGACCTGTCAAAGGTAGATCCGGGATCACAAACAATGCCCGTTATCATCACGTCATAAACTTGTTCTAACGGATGGCATGATAGAATGGGTGTACTAGAAGTAGAAACCTTAGGACTTCCGCTCAATCCTCAGACAACATCGGTAGAAGATGAGCCTAAAAGCGTTCTATCTGGTGTGACCACGCCAAATGTTAAAGGATGGCTTTGGTTTTAGGCTGTTGGTAGGATTGGGATTGTTTGGAAGAAGAAGTTTGTTGGTTTGGCTGAGAAGTAGGTTGGCTAGATGAGGCACTATGCTCGAGTGTCAGTTGCCTTTTGTTCTCCCCTTCATGAGGAGCCGAGTCATCGGGGTCCTCGTGCGAACGTGTTTTGCCACAGAGGCTGTCACGACATGTGAACTCAGTCTCAAGGAGATGGAGAAGTTTGTGTTGGTTATGTGCAAGGTCGGTTTCAGCTAGAAGGCGAAGGTAAAGGATGTTGGTTAAGGAGGGAATATTTTCGTAGTTCGGGTCAATGCAACTTGTCAGGGGAGGATACCAATTCTGTATCCTGGGTTCCCCGAGAAGTGGTAGGTGTATGTTGTTTGTGGGTAGATGGTTCAGAAGTGGGTAAGGGTATGGTAGGGTTTGTTGTGGCTGCGATGGGAGTGGAACGTTCTGAATCGTTTGGGTTGGTCTTGAGTCCTGTGCATTTGCGGCTATGAATTGTTGCAAAGCTAACCTCTCCTCCACGGCTTTGTCCCCTACGTCGACACCCTCAATCTCCTCATTGCTAGCAAGAGCTTAGCGTACATGTCCTTCATAGATTATATATGGAGAAGAAAACGCAGCAAGCATAGTCAAACGAACGAAAAAAACGCCAATCAGAGAAGCCTCGTACAAAACCCTAGAATCGCCAGGGAAGAAAACTTTCACCGCTTCTCTTAAAAGATTAATATGATAGGAAAAGGAGCACAAATTCAACTAAAAAACAGTCCTAAGGACTAAAAAAGTAATTACTCCTATTCAGGTAACTATCTAAAGTTTTGGTCATATTTAAGACCATTCCATTCATGATTTTCTTGCTAACTTGGCACACTCGGCTATGAGGGGACTAACTATCCTACAATCACCTCCTATAGGCCTAGAAAAGATCCTTTGGGAAGACGCAAATAGCTTAGAATTCCTGAGATTGTAACTTATTTTGCTTCGTTTGTTTGCTCTTTTGTTTTCTATTAGGCCTGGGATCGGTTCGGTTCTTGTTAAAATTCGATGGAACCGTATAAAAATCGTAGGCGTTAAATTCGGTTCGGTTCTAGTTAAATTCGGTTCGGTTCGGTTCTTTTTTCGGTTCCTAACAAAAATTTACTATCCTCCTGAAATAAACACACTTCAGTTACATAAAAAAATTCAAATATTAAATCACCAAATTAAGACCATTACATTATAAATGCATGATATCTCAATGTTCAAAAATCCAAAGACATATCCAAGTTCAACATTAAATTTAAACATAACAAAAATCTCGATTTAAAATAGGCATCAACTGTCAAGCAAAAAGGTTCAATAGCCCCAGAGTACACATCCAATAGCAGGTAGTTCAACCCCAAAATAATATTCTTCTTCTAGTAATGCACAATAAGTAAAACCTACGTAGTAATAAACAACGTGATCAACACAATGTTAATTCTTTTTTGTAGTGAACTCCAATAACAAATTCAATTACAAACAAAAAATATATATAAAAATGGACTAAAGTATTAAAATGATAATTACTCGGATTGGCGTGGTCCACAATATATAAGGTATATTATGCAAGAATAATATTTTGACAAGAACTTTTTGCCCGAAAGGCCGTCTGACCGCCTTCATTTAAGGTACTTCCGTGAAGATTTTTTTGATAAAGTTTTGTGAGCATGTTCTACATGAAATGTAGATTACATATACCAAATTGCAGCTTAAAATTCAATCGGGAAGTGAGTTAAATAAAATATTGAAAAAATTGCGTTTTTTCATATATTTTGGCGTAATGTTTTTCAATAATTTATTTAACTAACTTCCCGATTGCATTTTAAGCTCAAATTTGGTGGATATAATCTTTATTTAATAGAAAACAACCTCACAAAATTTCATCGAAAAATTCCACCCGGAAACACCTCAAATGAAGACTACTCATGCAGTGTATGAGAAGTTCGGTTCCTGGCCAGGAACCAGAACCGAACTGGAACCGAATCGGAACCGAACCGATGAAAGACTATAGGAACCGAACCAAAAAAAAGTGAAGTCCAAAATTATAGGAACCGAACCGAACCAGAAATTTCGGTTCGGTTCGGTGTCCCAGCCCTATTTTCTATTCAGATGTACCAAAAATAAGACCATTCCTAGTTTAAAAGGTGTATAATATTCATGATGGTGAGGGTAATATCTGGTTAAAGGTGTATTTGACTTCTTGACATCTGGTCTGTTTTTAAAGCAGACCACTTCCTAACATCTGGTCTGATTTTTTAACTCGGGGATGAATATCCTTTTTCTTTTTTTGTGAAAGCACACACAAACCCAATATTCAAACTCTCTGAATTCTTTCCTCCATAAATTTATATTCGGAAAATCCCTCGCAGGAAACCTAGATTCAGTATATTGTAACATTTACCGCGGTCGTGCTGGTAGATTGGTAAATTCTTTTCTTGAGAAGAAGAAGAAGATATGTCAGTCAAAATTGGGTCTTCATGGTCCTGTGTTTGCACTACTCTTTCTTCGCCGTTTCAATTCAATAGAACCCCCAAGGTGAGTTTTTCTCTTTCGTCTTAACTGTGTTCTTGAGAAATAATTCAATATCTCTTTGTTTCAACGGAGGTTTTATATTGCTCTATTATTAGTTTGTTGTCTTCATTGTATTTCAACCATTAGTAGTGTGTGGGCTGTGTGTCCTGTTTGTCTTCATTTAGTGATATGAAGCAGAATCTGGGCTTGGAAGAACAGAGCAGAAGCCTCAAGGCGGGGACGGGCTTGAGCCCACCTTCGTGGGCTGGTTGCGGGATGCTTAATTAATATTTATTCTTTTTAATTATCCTGATTTGTCTCCTATTAGGAGTTAATTAGGATCTCTATTATTTGTTTCCTATTTAAAGTTGATTAGGATCTCTATTATTCTGTTTCATAGTTGGAGTTGATTAGGATCTTTATTATTTTGTTTCTTAGTTGGAGTTGATTAGGATTTCTATGATTTTGTTTCCTAGTTTAAGAATTAGTAGATGGGTATTTAAACCCCTTGTTAGGATTCATTCATGCTCATCTTGGAATAAAAGTTGGTTTAGCCCTTTGGCTCTGGGCAACTGTATTTATTTATCGTTGATTATCTGGGCAGCGGTTCACCCCGTTGATTTTATTTTTCTGTTCTTAACAATTGGTCCGACCTGCCGGATCCCGTCCCGCCAGAATGACGAGATCTATCGGTGAACGTTTGTCAGAGATGGTGGCCAAGCAAACTCAAACCCTAAAGGAGCACAACATGCGTTTGGCAGAGATTGCCGCATCCCTGGCAGCGCTTACCAAGGCGCTTGTTCCACCAGTTTTGACGGAAACAAGCTCGGACACGGTTGGCAGCTCCAACGTATCTGCACACAACGGCGACGAACAGCCGCACAACGTCACTTCCTCATTGGCTGCACTCAAAAAGACTCTCGCACCGCCAGCGGCGGAGCATTCAACGGTGGTGACTTCACTCGACGCGGCAGCAGCATCCTCGTTCGGAATTGGTCTATGCAGCTCCTATCTTACGACGTTGCCCTCGTTTAACGAAGTAGAACCGATCAGCCGGGTTGATAAGGCTGAGAAACGGTTCGAATTGAATTGTGCTCTGCTGGGAAAGAAGGCGGCAACCACTGTAGCTGTGATGGAAGGGTCAGCCCTATACCGGTTGACCAGGATACGAACACGAAAGCCGGGCATGTCATGGGATGAGCTTACACAGGCATTGATGGCTCGTTTTGACTCACAGTTTCAGGGCAATTGCTTTGAACGGCTGCCCGGAGCCAAGTAGACAGGGATTGTGGAGGAGCACATCTCAATTTTTTCTGAAGATACTGGGCAGCCCCCGGGAACAAATGTCAGCCGGTTTCCGGATTTCAACCTTGAGGACAAGGTTTTTTAGAAGGGGGATGGAATTGATATGAAGCAGAATCTGGGCTTGGAAGAACAAGGGCAGAAGCCTCCGTGGGTTTACTGAAGGCGGGGACGGGCTTGAGTCCACCTTCGTGGGCTGGTTGCGAGATGCTTAATTAATATTTATTCTTTTTAATTATCCTGTTTTGTTTCCTATTAGGAGTTAATTAGGATCTCTATTATTTGTTTCCTATTCAAAGTTGATTAGGATCTCTATTATTCTGTTTCCTAGTTGGAGTTGATTAGGATCTTTATTATTTTGTTTCCTAGTTGGAGTTGATTAGGATTTCTAGGATTTTGTTTCCTAGTTTAAGGATTAGTAGATGGGTATTTAAACCCCTTGTTTGGATTCATTCATGCTCATCTTGGAATAAAAGTTGGTTTAGCCTTTTGGCTCTGGGCAACGGTATTTATTTATCGTTGATTATCTGGGCAACGGTTCACCCCGTTGATTTTATTTTTCTGTTCTTAACATTTAGTTACTGAATGCACCGAGCAAATTTCATTTGATGAATACGTAAGGTATGTGATATTGTGATCAGGATAATTACAATAATCGGAATATTAATGAAATCTAATCTTAAAAATGAATGCTAATCTTAGCCCTTGTTTGGATGGAGGATTGGAGGGATTTCGAGGTGAGGGAAGAAAGTGGAGCTCCCCATATCTCATTCTCCATATTTGGGCATTCCAGATGGGTTTTTAATTTTTCTTACTTATTTTCACATTTTATCATTTTCCATCATTTGCAATGCAGCCAAAGATTCATTATTTTTTGGCTTGAGAATATGATGAAATAAAGCAAAATGATTCACTAAACTGTCTGCGCTTCTTTGTTATGAAGCAACAGTCAGTCCATGCAATTTTTGGACGCGATTTTCACTATGGGTCATCTGGAAACAGTCTCTCTGTGCTTTAGTACAGGGGTAAGACTGCTTATATCCGACCCCCCCCTTACCCCACCGTAGGTGGGAGCCTTTGCGGCACTGGGGTAAATGAAAATGAAAATGATTTTCACATTTTATCAGTAAAAACTGTTTGACATCATCATCATTGTTATTATTATTATTATTATTATTATTATTATTATTATTATTATTATTATTATTATTATTATTATTATTATTATTATTATTATTATTATTATTATTATTATTATTATTATTATTATTATTATTATTATTATTATTATTATTATTATTATTATTATTATTATTATTATTATTATTATTATTATTATTATTATTATTATTATTATTATTATTATTATTATTATTATTATTATTATTATTATTATTATTATTATTATTATTATTATTATTATTATTATTATTATTATTATTATTATTATTATTATTATTATTATTATTATTATTATTATTATTATTATTATTATTATTATTATTATTATTATTATTATTATTATTATTATTATTATTATTATTATTATTATTATTATTATTATTATTATTATTATTATTATTATTATTATTATTATTATTATTATTATTATTATTATTATTATTATTATTATTATTATTATTATTATTATTATTATTATTATTATTATTATTATTATTATTATTATTATTATTATTATTATTATTATTATTATTATTATTATTATTATTATTATTATTATTATTATTATTATTATTATTATTATTATTATTATTATTATTATTATTATTATTATTATTATTATTATTATTATTATTATTATTATTATTATTATTATTATTATTATTATTATTATTATTATTATTATTATTATTATTATTATTATTATTATTATTATTATTATTATTATTATTATTATTATTATTATTATTATTATTATTATTATTATTATTATTATTATTATTATTATTATTATTATTATTATTATTATTATTATTATTATTATTATTATTATTATTATTATTATTATTATTATTATTATTATTATTATTATTATTATTATTATTATTATTATTATTATTATTATTATTATTATTATTATTATTATTATTATTATTATTATTATTATTATTATTATTATTATTATTATTATTATTATTATTATTATTATTATTATTATTATTATTATTATTATTATTATTATTATTATTATTATTATTATTATTATTATTATTATTATTATTATTATTATTATTATTATTATTATTATTATTATTATTATTATTATTATTATTATTATTATTATTATTATTATTATTATTATTATTATTATTATTATTATTATTATTATTATTATTATTATTATTATTATTATTATTATTATTATTATTATTATTATTATTATTATTATTATTATTATTATTATTATTATTATTATTATTATTATTATTATTATTATTATTATTATTATTATTATTATTATTATTATTATTATTATTATTATTATTATTATTATTATTATTATTATTATTATTATTATTATTATTATTATTATTATTATTATTATTATTATTATTATTATTATTATTATTATTATTATTATTATTATTATTATTATTATTATTATTATTATTATTATTAGGGAGTATATTTTTAGTTATCACACGAGATATCAAATGCTACATATGATACTTAAATATATATTCTTTAAAATGATAAGTTTTCATCACTCCATTGAATAAAGCATGAAAACCTTTTGAAATTCTTCCATTCTCCTCTCCACCCCAAAGGAAATTAATGCTATAAGCTTCATAAAGTTGTTTCTTTACTAATTAAAAGACATGGAGTTCAAAACCAAAATTAATGTTCAATCACTTGATCTTTATTTGTAAAAGATTAAGATCAATCTTAGACCATAATGAATTTAAGAATGACATGAAAAAAATCTAGCAGTCATGGTAAGCACTCATCTTATCAACACTGCCAACTTAGCTCAGACTTGTGACACGAAAAAGGTCCACCAAAAGGCAATTCACCACATGAATGCCTACTAGAGGTGCATTTACTTAAGAACACTGAACGGTGTCAATGATCGTTCATACATTTCAGTATTTCACATCTCGAGAAATGCGGGACACATAATGGTAATTAACAAATGGGCCATTGAAATGATGAAATTTTTTTGCATGAAGTTTCTAGTTTTATACGGTTTAATTCTTCTTTGCGGGGCTCCATTTCGTTTTTTGTGCTGTGTGTGAAAGTATATTAGAATATACTTTAGAATATGCTTTAGAATATATTAGGAATATACCATATATAGTATTATTGTATAGCATCTTTTATAGGAATATTCTATCTTTGTAATCTATATTTATAGGGCCTTACCCTTCAATGAAATATACAGAAAATCTTTCCTCCACTCTTCAGTTTAGTTTTCAAAATCCTTCTTTCTCCAAGTTCTTGATTTCAGTCCAGAGTTTTCAAGAATCTTCGATCTCAGTCTCTTTCCAGATTTTTTTTTTCTAGAACCTTTTTCCAAACCTCAGCAGAACATCCTCACTCTGAGAACCTCAGCAGAACATCCAGTCTCAGAACCTTAGCAGAACGTCAGAGAACACTTTAGTTCATAACCTTAGTCCAACAACTGTCCCTCTGGTTCGCCTGCCGCCGTTGACCGGTGACCGGAAGTCCGCACGCCCAAATCAGCGCGCGTGAGCTACACGCGCCGTCGGAAGCCGCTGCAACCATTGCACGCTCGGCGCGTGACGCCGTTTTTCTGGCCGAAGATTCTAACAGCGACCATCTTCAGATTCGCCGGAGTGTCATCTAGCGATATCCAGGTACACCTTGTTTCAAAATTGGAAGCCTGTTTTTTCTCTTTCTACATCCAGGATCGACCGGTAGTCTGGGACGGTGAATAAAGACCTGGTGAGGTTGTACGTCGTCGTCAGTTCCAATCCTGTCGCTAGAAGGAGGACTGGGTCTTGGCTGACATCGGATATCTGCAGACATACGCATCACTCATATATGCGAACAACGCTCTTTGTTATTCTGAGGGGTTTGCAACTTTGCATAGTTAATTCTGTCTGGAGTAGGAGTCAAAAAGCCCAAACAAATTGGATATTCTACTCTCCAAAGTTTGAGTCCACAAAAGGAATTTAACTTCCGTAAGTTTCCACCTTTATCCCAATTTTGAATTTAACTACCACAAAAAAAGGTATAAGTTAAAAAAAAACAAAAAAAAATTAAAAAAAAAAGTTATGTATTGTACGAGTGGATTTGACAGAGGAGTAATATGCAATTATTGCAAAAAGCCTGGACACTTGATCAAAGAGTGTAGGAAATTGATGTTTAAAAATCAAGGAAATCAGCCTGCTCATATTGCTTCCGCTACCAGTTCATTTGACGGATCAGTTGCTATTTCTTCAGACGAGTATGCCAAATTTATTTGCTACCAAGAATCTCTAAAGCATTCATCTGTCCCTATCTCTGTAGATGCGAATTCAGGTATTTCAGCCACATGTCTTGTTTCATCATCCTTGAAATGGGTCAATGACTCAGGTGCCACAGATCATATGACCGGTAATCCTAGTCTATTCTCGTCATTTCATTCATATTTACCTTCTTCTAGTGTCACTTTAGCTGATGGATCTACCTCACCAGTTCTTGGATCCGGTACCGTTGTCCCAACTTCTACATTACCATTATCGCCTGTTTTGAGTCTTCCTAATTTTGCATTTAATCTGCTTTCCATCAGTAAAATCACGCGTACTCTTAATTGTTTTGTGACATTTTTTCCTGGATATTGTGTGTTTCAGGATCTGTTAACGAAGCAGACTATTGGTAAAGGACATGAGTCAGCTGATCTTTATATTTTGGATACATCAATCACAAAAGGTATCTCTTGTCTTGGGGTTGGCACTTTGTTAGATGCTCATTACCGATTAGGACATCCATCTCTCCCATTAATGAAGCAAATAAATCCCCAATTTAATAAGATGACCTCTTTACAATATGAGTCATGTCAATTTGTGAAACATCATCGTTCTAGCTTAAGCCCTCGAGTTACTAAACGAGCAAATGCTCCATTTGACCTTGTTCACTCTGATGTTTGGGGTGCTTGCCCGGTTGTGTCTAAAGCTGGTTATAAATATTTTGTTACCTTTGTTGATGACTATTCTCGTATGACATGGTTGTATTACATGAAACGTCGATTTGAGTTGTTCACTCATTTTTCTTCCTTTTGTGCTGAAATTAAAACTCAGTTTAACGTTCCTGTTCGGGTGTTAAGAGGGGACAATGCCCAAGAATATCTATCTGCTACATTTAAGTCATTTATGCTTCAGCATGACATTATTCATCAAACTTCATGTTTTGACACACCTCCTCAAAATGGGGCTGCAGAACGAAAGAACCGACATCTGTTAGAAACTGCAAGGGCTCTTCTATTCCAAATGAATGTGCCTAAACAGTTTTGGGCCGATGCCGTTTCTACTGCATGTTTTTTGATAAATCGTATGTCATCTTCTGTTTTGAATGGTAAAGCTCTGTATCATTGTCTATTTCCAAACAAAGAGCTTTTTCCTATCCCACCTAAAATATTTGGTTGCACTTGTTTTGTTAGAGATGTTAATCCTCATCTTACAAAGTTAGATCCCAAATCATTAAAATGTATTTTCTTGGGTTATTCTCGAGTCCAAAAGGGGTATAGATGTTTTTGTCCGAGTACAGGTCGGTATCTTGTTTCTATTGATGCATCATTTCATGAAAATACACCTTTTTCATCATCTAAGGCAGATATTCATGAGAGTAATGATGATATACTCATTTACAGTTTTACACGATGACTATTCCCGAGTCCACACTTTCGACAAGTATTCCACAAGTTACTGTTCCCGACTCTAGGCCTCCCGTACATTTGGTATACACCCGTCGACACAAAGCACCTGATCACCCTCCACCGGCGATACCTGTGATTACTTATCCTGATACTAGTTCGACTCCGATCTCATGTCCTGAACCAGTACCTTCATCTTCAGATCTTGTCTCCACATCAGATCTTGACCTCCCAATAGCACTACGTAAAGGTACACGGTCTTGTACTCATCCTATTTCTTCATTTGTATAGTATAATCAGTTATCTCCTGCTTCATGTTCTTTTATTGCTTCCATTGATTTTATTTTTGTTCCCAAATCTGTCAAAGAAGCTTTGTCTCATCCTGAATGGCGTCATGCCATGGTAGAGGAAATGAATGCTTTAGATCATAATGGTACTTGGGATTTGGTTGACTTGCCTACAAGGAAGAAATCTATTGGATGTAAGTGGGTCTTTGTTATTAAGGTTAACCCAGACGGATCTGTTGCTCGGTTGAAAGCCCAATTAGTTGCGAAGGGTTATGCTCAAACCTATGGTGTTGATTATTCTGACACTTTTTCTCCTGTTGCTAAATTAACATCTGTCAGGTTACTTATTTCACTCGCTGCAACTCATGATTGGCACTTACATCAGTTGGACATTAAAAATGCATTTTTGCATGGTGACCTTAAGGAAGAAGTCTATATTGAGCAACCTCCGGGATTTGTTGCTCAGGGGGAGTATGGTAAAGTTTGTCGACTTCGCAAATCTCTTTATGGTCTGAAACAGAGTCCTCGTGCATGGTTTGGGAAATTCAGTCAATCAATTGAACAATTTGGAATGAAAAAAGGCAAATCAGATCACTCTGTCTTTTACAAACAAACAGAATCAGGTGTCACATTGCTTGTGGTGTATGTTGATGATATTGTGATTACAGGGAGGGATAATGCAGGTATTTTGGCCCTTAAGAATTTTCTGCATAGTCAATTCCAGACGAAAGATCTTGGCTCTTTGAAATACTTTCTGGGAATTGAGGTAACACGAAGTAAGAAAGGCATATTTCTATCTCAACGTAAATATGTACTTGACTTACTAGCTGAGACAGGGAAATTAGGGGCAAAACCAAGTACAACACCCATGGTTCCCAACGTGCAACTCACTCAAGAAGGCACACCGTTTGAAGACCCAGAAAGGTATAGAAGACTGGTTGGAAAGCTTAATTATCTCGCAGTCACTCGTCCAGATATTGCCTAGATATTGCCTATTCTGTGAGTGTAGTGAGTCAATACATGTCATCTCCAACCATTGATAATTGGGCTGCAGTAGAACACATATTATGTTACTTAAAGGGTGCACCCGGACGAGGTATTGTTTATCAAAACCATGATCACATGAGAATAGAATGTTTTGCAGATGCCGATTGGGCCGGTTCTAAAGATGATCGAAGATCTACATCTGGTTATTTTGTCTTTGTTGGTGGTAATCTTGTATCTTGGAAGAGTAAGAAGCAGAATGTGGTTTCTCGTTCGAGTGCCGAATCAGAATATCGAGCTATGGCACAATCTGCATGTGAGATCATATGGATAAGCCATTTATTGACCGAGCTCGGACTGAAGACATCAATGCCTGCTAAATTGTGGTGTGATAACCAAGCTGCTATACACATAGCAAAGAATCCTGTATTTCATGAGAGAACAAAGCATATTGAGGTCGATTGTCATTTTATTCGAGAGAAGATACAAAAAGGATTGATCTCTACAGGATATGTGAAGACTGGGGAACAACTTGGAGATCTGTTCACTAAAGCACTAAATGGAATTCGAATTGGTTATTTATGTAACAAGTTGGGCATGATAAATATCTATGCTCCAACTTGAGGGAGAGTGTGAAAGTATATTAGAATATACTTTAGAATATGCTTGAATATATTAGGAATATACCATATATAGTATTATTGTATAGCATCTTTTATAGGAATATTCTATCTTTGTAATCTATATTTATAGGGCCTTACCCTTCAATGAAATATACAGAAAATCTTTCCTCCACTCTTCAATATTATTATAGTTTATATTTCAACACTGTGTATGGTCTCAATGCTGATATATTCCCTTCTGCTGAGTGCTGAGTGTTGGCTTAACCACCTCTTTTAGGTCAGCTCTAGAATCAGATTGCTTGACATGCAGCATTTTGGTACAAGTAGTGCAACTAATGCTAAAGGTATGTACTTGAGCTTGGGGCGCTTTATTTTCTTTCAGTGCATAAACTAATGGGTCATATATCTTGTTTGCGATTATGCTCTTCCCTTAAGTCCTTAAGTTTTATGCTCATGACTCAAGCTTCCTAGAATTTTTAGAAGTGTTCTTTGCTCTTTCCACTTCCATTGTTTTTCAGTGCATGAATATAGCACTTATCTCAAGTCATTGTTGTTTCATTGTATTTTCCATGAAAGTGGAAACTGGAAAGAACGTATGATGATGACCATTTTGAGTTTTTGTTATCTTTATTTATTCTTAAGAAGGTTGCGGCAAGGACAACCGGCATATAAGTTTGCCATCATGCTTTTTTGCATGAAATTATGGTGTTACATTGTGTTCTGTCAATTGTCACATGCTTGATTTTGAAGGCGGTTAGGCGGTTAAATGATTGTGTGTTAATTTGTGTATGTCTAGGGAATTTGTAGAGATCCGAACTCTACTTAGGGCATTTTTGGGTAGATGGCTTTGCAGGGGAAGCCTATGAGTGCTCAGTTTATATTTTCATATATGTGTGTGATATTTCAAATAATTTAAAAGATTTAGAACAATATGAAATTGTATAGCATTTCAATTGCCTTTTATTTGTTTCCATAAGGTTTAACTAATTTTTTATAGTTATTTTGATGCAAGTTGTTAGGTCATTCAAGCTTATGCATGAAAATCTTAGGATGTGTGGGGGTTTATCCAAGACGCGGTTCATCTTATTTGCTACCTCAGAGGATCCACAATTACTGGACTGTGATCATGAACCAAATGCTTTGAACAAAGGAAATCCAAAGCTTCTTGTCAAAGACTTGTCCTCTGAACTTGTTTCATCAACTGCTCAGGCTGAAGGAAGACCTGGCTTTATTTCGTTTTATTTTAGCCGTCCTTACATAAGAAGAGAAGCTGAGGTCTTGTCTGATCATGGAAAGAATGAAGGAAATTTGTTATGGATTATGGGTCCCACTGTCCTTGTTGCCTCTTTCATCTTTCCCTCACTCTATTTACGAAGAATACTAGCCACCATTTTCGAGGACTCTCTACTAACCGGTAGGTGGAACTTATGCTGGATTCTTTGAGTACATATATCTATTTTGTGCTATTCTTTTGCCCTCCAGAGCTTCATCCGGCCAGTTTCGATATTGATTTTTCTCGGAATATGCTCAACTAGGGATGGGCACAGGCCGGGTAGGGGCGGGCAATGCATAAGCTTTGAAGAACAGGTGGTTCCATTAAATGTGTCGGTCCGGGTATAGCAATTTTCAAAATAGGAACCGGACCTCACCCGGGCCTTGAAACGGGTTGGTCCAGTCCAGATTTTTCGGTTCCCATTTCCATGTCTAAAAGTAGCTAAAAATTATCAAGTTCCAAAAATCATCAAGTAATAAACAAACTATTTTTAACAGAAAGATTCGTGTTAAATGATAAAATATTAAAATCTATCATGAAACCAGATGCTCAACAAGCCAGGACACAAGTAATAAAAAAATCACTTATGTTGAATTTTGTACTGATGAGTCAGACTATAGGATATAAAAAAATTGAAGGTCATACCGTCATAGATTCATAAGTGTGTCCTAGAATTATCATTTTCAGTTTTAAACACCTTCTTAAGCCTGCGCGTAACACATTATTAAGGCTAAAGGGTCAAATAGGCCCTTGAACTGATTTAAAGTGTTCAATTAGCCCCTTATATAGGAGGTTCTGCCCGGCCGTCGCCAATTGGGGTGGTTCCCGGTGGAATTTTTTGATGAAATTTTTTGAGCATCTTCTTCGTTAAGTCTAGTTTACTCATACCAAATTTCGGCTAAAAATTCAACCGGGAAGGCAGTCAAATGATTTTTTTGAAGATAACTGCGAAGTTAAACAGCGCAGTACATTTCGGAAAATCATTTGACTGCCTTTCCGGTTGAATATTTAGCTGAAATTTGGTATGAGTAAACTAGACTTAATGAAGAAGATGCTCAAAACATTTCATCAAAAAATTCCACCGGGAACCGCCCCAATTAGCGACGGCCGGGCAGAACCTCCTATATAAGGGGCTAATTGAACACTTTAAGTCATTTCAAGGGGCTATTTGACCCTTTAGCCCATTATGAAATATTATTAACTCCTATAACTCTACAAGTGTAGTTTATATTCAACATATACACCTCTGTCATTATTATAATTACAATTTACAACCAATTAGTTAGCCTATTATTGGAACATAATGTATTATTTTTCATATTTCAAGAACAAAAGTACGTAAGGCTTCTGCTAAATAGAAATATAGGATACTGGAGTTTATTTGAAACCCAAACACACAAACAAGATAATATGCAACTTATCTACTGCTCAAGGATCGAAAGTGGCAAGAAACCCAAAAGTGGAAAAATAGTCGTGGGACCAAAAATGGAATAATAAGTTGTTATGTGTATCATCATTTGAGAAGCTGTTTTGCCAACAAATATAAATGCAATTCAGCGTGGCTTATTTTTATTTTTTTTTGAGGTTAAGAAATTTTTGCAATTTTGAATTACAGGACGGTTGACATGATGATGCGTGGAGTTATTCTAAAAAATATCAATTATGATAAAGAAGAAATAAAACTCTGTATTCCCTCCATGTAAAGAATGCTATTTGGTCATTACAACTCTTAAAAATCATGAAATGACTTGTACATTTTAGAACTTCTTTGTTAGTTTATGTAATGCATCATAGATAGTAGGGAAAGTTCCCGAAATAGGACTAAAACAGTTTGAAAATTCCAAAATAGGACTGCCATGTTTTTTATTCCCAAAATAGAAGTAATTACTGCCAAGTTTGGAAAATACTGCCATGTTTGAAGACTGGTACTGCCAAAACATGGCAGTAATCAGTCCTATTTTGGAAATAAAAACATGTCAGTCCTATTTTGGAATTTCCAAACCTTTTTAGTCCTATTTTGGGTAAATTCTCTAATATTAAACTTGTCCGTAACATTTTTTTGGCAAAATATTGTGATATATTTGTTGTGTTTGATGAAACAAGGCTTTTTTTAAAAGAAAAAGGTTTTTAAAACATAACTCTTTCTGTAGGATGAACGGAGTATCTTTTTAACAAATGTTCACCATCAGTATCACCAGTACTTTACCTTGGTCCTATTTTATAGGCGTTATTTATTTAGAGAGTAATTTCTAAATGAGTAAATACAAATTATCCGTGCCCCTTTTGGTTCTTGACTACAATGATCAGTTTTGGTGTCTCTATCAGTTTTGGTTCTTCTGAGCTTTGAGCGCATTAAGGATGAAAGTTGATCCGTATTTTTCTGGAATAATGAGAAATTCTTGCTTATTTAAAAAAACAAGCTTGACTTTAAAAAACGATATTCGTGCTTCAAACTTGACTTTTTAAGGAATTTTATCAATCTAGGACCTGAAAAATGAACTATCAATCTGGGACCTGAAAGATGAAATGTGTTCATATTGACCCGAATGATTGAAAACTATCAATCTAGGACTTAAAATTCCAAGATTTTTGACTAAATTAATTTTTTATTAATTCCATTGCTAATTTTTAATGAATTTTTCTTCACAAAATTTTATTATTTATATATTCAAATAATATTTTAAAATAAAAATGTACAACTTAATAAAATTCATGACAACTTAGATCGTAGATTGATAGTTTTCAATCATTCAAGCTTTATACCGACACATTTCATCTTTTAGGTCCCAAATTGATAGTTCATCTATATTTGAGGTTCTGAATTGATAACATTCCATTTTTTAATCATGGACCAAAGTTGAGGACACCTAAATCGTGGTACTAAAATGGTTTCTCGCTAAAATGATTTAAAATCACATGACATCTTTTCTTTTCGTATAATTCCCGTGGTTTTTTACCTCCAGATTTTCTTATATTGTTTTTCACGGAGGCTCTGTTTTACTGCGGAGTTGCATCATTTCTGCAACTAATTGATCATCATTTAAGGATGCGGCGGCGGCCGCCGCCACTTGAGTTGGTATCTTCTGCACATGCTACACCACCATTTGGGTATACAGTCTCTTCAGTTGCTGTATTGGCTCTAAGCCTAACAATTCCAATGGTGACGATGGGACTAGTTTGGCCATGGACGGGCCCTGCAGCTTCTGCTACACTTGCACCGTTTCTAGTTGGTATTGTTGTGCAGTTTGCGTTTGAGCAACAAGCAAGGCATGTCAAGTCTCCTTCTTGGCCTGTCATTCCAGTTGTTTTTCAGGTATCAAATCTCTTCAAGTATAATAATTGTTGTAGATACTGAATTAGAAAATATTTCACTTTTGGTCCCAGGACTATCAGGTTTTTTTCCTTTTATCTTTCTTATGTTCGTGATCCGTTTTATCTTATTATTTTCATCTTTATCTTATCTATCTTATTTTTTCATTTCTGATTTCATGTGTCCATTCATGTTAGCCGACCCCAAACTCTTGTTGTTTGAGGGTTTGTTTGACATTTTTTCCTGTTTTTTCTATAAGCAACTTTGTTTTTTCTTTTTAACATAAGGACTTGTTATTATATTTCAAAATTGTGTGTGTACAGGTATATAGGTTGCACCAACTAAATAGGGCAGCACAACTGGTGACAGCCCTTTCATTGACAGTAAGAGGAGCGGAGACAACAGCTCACAATTTGGCAATAAACAGATCGCTGGGTGCCCTCCTAAACGTCCTGCAAGTGCTCGGTGTGATCTGTATTTGGTCACTTTCGAGCTTCGTCATGCGCTATTTTCCGAACCAAAACTACTAGATGCTCAAGTTGCTTTCCTGTTTTCATATGTTCCACTTAAGCTGCCGGCGCTGCATGCGTTCATGGGAAATCTCTAGTATCACCTTGCTTAATCAGCGCTTATATGCTCTAGCTTGTAATTTCTTTACTTCTTAATTTGTTTCAACATACATTGCTCCTAGACCTACACAAAACGGGCTCGGCCGGGCTTTCTATAAATTTTCTGCTCATTATATGTGGGTCGGCCCAGTCTGGTCCACAAAAATGGGCCTAACTACATGTTCTTACCCTCATGTAAGAGCGAGTCGGGTAGTCCACCAGGCTGTCCGGCCCGGGAAATCTTTAAAGTTTCCAAATTATATAATTTATTTTAATAATTTTGAAGTAATATTACAACATTAAAAAAAAAATTGGGAAAAAAGTGGCTTATATTGAATAACCAGAATTCAAGCAAGATACAGAATGATAAAAAGTCACTTTGTGACCGTCTGCCCTTGAATCAGACTTGGAGTCTATCACCTCCAAAAAAGCAATATGACTCGTTGATAATGAGCTTAACTGAGTTAATGACAGACGCAATAGACCTTTCATCACTAGGGATAGACTCGATTTGGGCCGCCCGGCCTGGGAAACTAGTTCCGGTTCCGGGCTTAAGCCCGGCCCGGGGGGTAAGTGGCTTCGGTTCCGGGTCTTGAAAAAGGTGAACTGGCCTGACCGAGCTCGGTTCGGGGACTTCGGGCCTTTTTCTTTTTTCTTTTTTCTTTTTTTTTTCTTTTGGGTTTTAGCTGGGTTTAGTTGGGCTGGGCTGGGTGTTTCCGAGGGGTTTGTGTTGGGTTTCGAGCAGAAAACGCAGCGGAATAAACGAAAAATTTACTACCCAAAAGTAAACAATCGGATTTGAGGTTCTTACTATAAACGAAATTACAAGACATAAGAGGGATTTACATAGCAATTTTAAACAAGGATGTCAGACAGTCCGAGAAAGCGATCTCGAGCTCTACTGGTATCCACACACGCGTGACTGGATCGGTCATAGGGAATGTGCTATCGTTCTCTTCTTTCTTCCTCTCTACTCTAAGTTTAAGAAGTGAATTTTAACTCATAAAATTTGTGGGTCTACATAGCCCTATTTATAAGAGGAGGAAAGACGGAGCTTTATAGCTAATAAAACTCTCCTAGAGGCCCTAGCCCAATGCCATTCGAAAACCTATTTCGAATTGGGCTAATCAGGTTATTTTAATGTTATTAACAAACATTAATGATCCAAATCACTTAGATGTGTGACCCTGTAGGTTTATATATTATTGGCAGTAGACTAGAAAATTAATTCGAGCCTCACAAATCATAAGCGGTATCTAGCAAGACACTATGACTATCCAAAATATATAAATGTCAATTAAATCTGACATAACCTTTTAATGATTTATTTGTGCTAATAATTCTCTTTTGTCAAATGATATCTTAATTGAGATAAGGTTAGGTCGTGTCATCCTTGTTATTCTCAATTAATATTTCTTGATTATCAAGTAAGATTAATCTTGACCAAATGACACCTCATTTGAGCATGGACATGCTAACTAATCTTACTTGTCAAAGGGGCCAATAGATATCTTTCTCTCGCTATACAAGAGTGGCAAAAACTATCTTGATAATTCACATACTACTACATGGTTCATAATATGTATAATCACCGCATTTATAATTACCCATTTAAAGATAACATTTAATGGTGTTAATACATATTAATTCTCATGCAAGTAACCATGATTATCTCAAGTATAAGAATATAGCACCTCATCATTATTGAAGACAACACTGATGACATATAACCTAGCAGTGTCATCAAGTTGGGTCTGTCCAATGAACTTGTTCACTAACAAACATCTATGTTATTAACATGATATCTCTATACCCATGACTAGTGGAATATAGGCATCAGTTAATCCACATACTGGTCTATTAATTATTAATGTCTCAAATTAATAATATTAGACCAAGGACAATTAGAATATTATGCTTATTTTAAAGTGTATCGTTCCATGACGTGCACTTTGTCGTGTATGCACTCAAAATAATAATCAATACGACACTAATACGTAGCATAGTGTAGTAAGGTTCGTATCCACAGGGAAATGAATACTTCTCTTTTTATAAAACTAGAAATAAGTAACAAGGGGGGTTTTATGATTGGTTGATGAACTTTAAATTATATTTAAACACGAAGATGAACGACTTATGTGGTTTAATTAATGAGAAAAAGACTTGTCTTTGCTTTTATCCACTTAATGAAATGTTCGTCGATCCCAGTTATATCTTTAACTATCTTTATCTTCCTCTCGAATACTCAATCGAGGAGTATATCCAATTCATCGAGGGTAGTTATTAATAACGAGATGCGTTCATTAAGAGATAAGGGTCAGATAGGGTCTCGAACTTGAAAAAAAATGTCAAATAAGGCCATATTTAGGATGCTCTGTCCGGCCGACGTCATTTGGGGTGGTTCCCGGTAGAATTTTTTGATGAATTTTTTTGAGAATCTTATTCGTTAAGTCTAGTTTACTCATATCAAACTTGAACTAAAACTTTAATCGGGAAGGCATTCAAATGAATTCTTGAAGATAACTGTACCGTTAAAAGCGCAGTTATCTTCATGAATTCATTTGAATGCCTTCCCGATTGAATTGTTAGTTCAAATTTGATATGAGTAAACTAGACTTAATGAATAAGATTCTAAAAAAATTTCATCAAAAAATTCCACCGGGAACCACCCCAAATGGCGTCGGCCGGACAGAGCATTCTAAATATGGCCTTATTTGACATTTTTTTCAAGTTCGAGGCCCTATCTGACCCTTATCCCGTTCATTAATAAAACTTACTACCGAGTTAATATAGAACACGCGCCGTATATTCACTCGATAGTAGCAATAAAATAGAGATGAAAACGATTGAGATTGATAACCTCAACACAAGCGGTTTATCGGTTTAATCAATATAATTAATTCCCCTTCGGTTATTAACCATGAGACGCATGCATTAACAACCCAAGTTTACTACCGTGAAAGGACCGAATTAATAACAAGCGTATAATCGACCGATTCTAGTATTAATTAATATATGAAACAAAACTAGTTGATCCTTTAAGTAATGCTCAAAATATTAATATGAAATAGGACTAGGAATTAATTAATATTCAAGGAAGAAGATTAAAGAAAATAACTCACAACTTACAATTCATTAAGCTTCAAAGTAGCAAAACCAAGATGGAAGAGTTTAGCTCCTCATTTGGAGACTAAACATGAAGAAAATATAAAGAAATAACTTGTCTAAACTGAGCTTAGAAGTATATAGGAATTGGTGATTTTTGTGGGAAGGAAAGGGGTCTATTTATAGGAAAATGGAGCATGCAGGGGTGTGTACCCGATCGGGTATAGAAGGCTCCCGATCGGGTACGCTCAAAAGCTTCCCAGAAGCTGAAAAATAGGGTCATACCCGACCGGGTTTGTCGGTCACCCGATCGGGTATGACACTCGAACATGGCCAAAATCTTCCCTGCATGTTGCTTGGTTCCCGAGTTGATCCGATTTGATTTTCCAACAGGGTACCCGATCGGGTATAGGTCGTACCCGATCGGGTATAGGTCATACCCGACCGGGTACAACACAAAAATCAAAACCTCCATTTTGTTTTGAGATTTTTGCACCTTCCTTCCACTTGTGATGTTCACCAATGGTCCCCAAAGTGTTCTTGGACCTGTTTGAGCTCAGAATGAACCTAATCTAAACAAATTACAATTATTTTTACAAACTAACTATTACACCAAAAGTGTGTAATTTCCAAAGTAACAATCAACCAAAACTAATTAAAAATACAAATATATAAACATGGAAATTACACGAATGTCATTCCACAATTAAGTCACGTACTTAATTAGCTACTAAACATAATATTCAGGGACTAAATATTAATAAAGAAAACTCACAATAATAATTAACATAAAATGAGTTTGTGACTTTATTAATTAATGAGCATTAAATATTCATTGATAAATCATAGACTATGATTGTCCTAGGGTTCATTTCCAACAGTCTCCCACTTGCACTAGGACCAATCGTGAACAAAACAAATGCCTAATGCACTAGTATGACATTCATGCTTTGCTTGTGGTAGTGGCTTGGTGAGCGGGTTAGCCACATTTGCATCTGTCGGTACTTTGCATATCTTGACGTCACCTCTATTGACTATTTCTCGAATGAGATGATAGCGTCTGAGTACATGCTTTGATTTCTGGTGTGATCTAGTTTCCTTGGCTTGTGCAATGGCTCCATTGTTATCACAATACAAGTCCATTGGTCCAACAATATTAGGAACCACACCGAGCTCAATGATGAATTGCCTTATCCATACCGCTTGTTTTGCTGCTTCTGAAGCAGCAATGTACTCAGCTTTTGTTGTAGAATCAGCCACTGCGTCTTGTTTAGAACTCTTCCAGCTCACTGCTCCGCCATCGAGGCAAAACACAAATCCTGATTGCGATCTAAAATCACCCTTATTGGATTGGAACCCAACATCTGTGTAACCATTTATAATGAGCTGATCTTCACCGCCAAAGACCAAGAATACATCCTCAAAAGGTTTAAGTACATCTTTACTTTTATACAATGAGTTTTTTGTTACATATACCCTTGTATAGTTTTCAAATTCTAGTATAACTAGTACGGAGTATTTAATACTTTTTAATTAAACTTAACAAGTATTAGGTTCTTAGTATTTTGATTTCTTATATTTCCTTTACTACTACTTACGAATATAAATATATACTCTAGGAAATTATTTTTAAAGAATATTTTGTCATATATATTTTTTATATCGGCCGGCGGGCTGCCCGTTTAACCAATGGGTTAAATCAGTTGGGTAAAGGCTGCAAAAAATCTGGTCCGTCACTAAACGGGTTGGCCCGATCCAACCCACATAAAGCGTAACTCGTTACGGGCCGGATCAGATGGGGTTGGCCTCTTTGACAACTTTCCCTACACCCTAACCCAAGCCCAGCCATATGATATTGTTGGACGGACTGGAGCCGGACCGGTGGGTAAATATATATATATGCCTAGCTCCGCCCTTTTGTGTGGACAGGTCGTGCTGGTAGGCCCGTGTTTGTGCAGGTCTATTGATTTGCTCCCTTCATTCCCAAACGAAATTTTTAGTTTGACTTCACATATTGTTAGCCTATTAGGTGAGATATTCAACTGTTGATTTTCCTTAAACTAGTCTTTTACCCGTGCGCTGCACGGGATAATAGATCGATTATAAAATGATTTGACATTACGAAAAAGAAGTTCAATCTTGCAAATTAAGCCTTTATTCATATTTAATTATAG